GAAAAAAAATAAGAAAAAAAAAAAAAAAAAAAAATACCCAAAGGGTAGTACCGGTCAATGCCGACACTAGAACCAGGAAGGGTTAGTCCTGAATAGGCTGGCTGAAGTGAAAGACCAGTGGTCTGGTCAAAGTTAAGGGGAGTTGCCCTGGAACCAGAAGTCAGTCTCTGACTGAGGGGCCAGCAGGTGGCATGGTGGTTAAGGTGCTGGACTCTCCCACGTGGCTGACCACTGTTCGAGTCCTGGACCTGGCGGCTGGCTTTCTCACTTCCCCTCTTTCTCTCTCTCTGTCAAATTAAAAATAAATGAATGAATAAATAAAATTTAATAAATAATTATTAAAAAAAAAAAAAGTCAGTCTCTGATTTAAAAGAACTAAACTTTTATTTTTTTTTTAGGAGAAATTTTTGCTATAGGGTGCATGCCCTTGCCAGAGAGACAGAAAGTGAGAAATCAACCTCCCGTAATGCCTTCTCCTCCATTTTCCTCTTAGGACTTTGGGCATGCATCCTCATGCACCCGGCATGAGTTTTAAGCTGCCGGGTCCAGGACTGAAACCACAGTCAACTATGCGAAGTCCAGCAACATAACCATTATGCCAAACCTGAACCAAACCTTTCCATACAAAGGTGTGTTGCATGTGTTGCTCTCACCTCTGCCCATGCACATGGGGATACCTGCTCACCTGTGCAAGACTCAAGCAAGAACAGGACCTGCTGCAGGTCAGACTGGCAGAGGTCCATGTCATTGCGGGCCAGCTCCAGCTCACCCTTCAGCACCAAGAACAGGGCACACCTTGTTGGGAAAGATGATGAGAACCAGAGTGACATCCTTTGTTTTCTTGGACAGTCTTTCTCTTTGCTTTTTCCCAAGGAAGTTTTTTTTTTCCCTACCTCTAAAAGGCCTTGGCTTGTCCCTGTGTATTAAGACAGGGTTCCCCAAACTATATTCTTCAGAAAAAAGTGGATCCCATGGGCAAATAGGGCACAGTACACTAGATCTCCCTTTTAGAGATTTACAATGCATCTTAGCACCCTGAAGGACATGAAGAGTCCTATAGGAAATAAAAACACTTAACCTTGATTAACTCAGCATTTCTCAGATATAGCTATAAAATGCCATCTTCCACCAGCCCCTCCTAACCTAACCTGCAATCAGTGAGACCGTGGGAATCGGTGGTCAAGGGTGCACAGCCCTCGGGTGCCTCTGTCGTCATCCTCTCAGGCCCTATACTCACTGGCGAGGTATCTGCAGCTTCGTTGTAAGTTTCAGGGCCTCTAAACAAAAGGCCTTGGCTTCACTCACACTCCCCAGGTGGCCCAGGCGGCAGACAAGCTTCTCTGAGCAGCTCAGCACCTCTGTGAGAACTTGCCATTTTTGTACCAGATTTTCACCTGTAGCAAAGGGAAGACGAGAGCATTGTCACTTGGACACAGCCTGGATCCTCTGGACACAAAACTGCCCGCCCCCACAGTGGCCCTCTCCTCCTCAAACTCACCGTAGTCCAGAAACGGTGTCTCCACAGCTGCTTTCTGAACTGAGAGTACATCACTGCCCAGCAGCAGGAGGAGGATGCTTCGGAGGAGTTTATGGGAGTCAATGAGGGCTATCTCGGGTGTCTGCCAGCCTGCGGTAGGTGGGGTAGAGAAAGAGCGAAGATGATGCGGTCAGAACCCCTGCTGCCTTCAACTGCTGACATAGCGGAAGTGCAGCATGCTGCCACTCTTTTCCTTCTGCAACTAAGGCGGGCAGGGGTAGTTAATCACTCTTTTCCTTCGAG